AAGGTGGATCTAGGACCAATATTTCGCGGCGTTACAAACTCTTTGGGGCTGCACAAAGCTATAATACCCTGACAACATAGTTGTGTAGGGTATAAAAAATGGTAATTACTTCGGATAAGGGCTTTATATAAATAGTCTTCTGTCTTTACCCTTCACCACACTGTGGTACAGAGTATTATGTCTCAAATGGAAACGACATAGACACATGGTTTCTTTTGAGAATATGCATAGAATCACTTTCTGAGTCGATTTATGCATGTCCGTCTGTGTATCCATGTTAAATTATAAACAAAGTACAGGTCACATTTATGATCCGAATCGAATCGGTTTAGATTTAGATATAATATAATGTAAATGGTGTACCTAAGTCCCTATATATCTTTCGATTTGCACGAAATTTGGCATTGTGTACTGAATTAAGTGTAGAATGATGTGTGTTAAGTTTTCGGAAAATCGGTTCAGATTTAGATATAGCTCCCATATATTTTTTTCGTCCGATTTAATGTAAATGGTGTACCAAAGTCTCTATATATCTTTCGATTTGCACCAAATTTGGCATAGCGTACTGAATTAAGTCTAGAATGGTGTGTGTTAAGTTTTCTGAAAATCGGTTCAGATTTAGATATAGCTCCCATATTTATTTTCTTCTGACGTAAATTATGCACTAAAGACTCAAAGTTTGTGCGAATAGTACACAATTTTGTACAATGTGCTGTAGTTAATATAAATTAATCTCCGACAAGTTTCGTGGAAATCGGTTCATATTTTGATATAGCTCCCACATATATATTTTCGTCCGATTTTAGGTAAATAGTGCACCAAACTCTTAATGTTTGTCCGATTGACACGAAATTTTGCCTAACGTATCAAATTGAGAATACAGATGCATACATAGCTTCCGTATATAATATTATTCGAACAGATGTCTGCTTAAGATTAAATTTTGTTTTGTATCTCAGTGTAATTAATGTTCCGCCGAGAACTTTGTATTTTCCAATTCCTGTTAAATGTCACTAAGACAAATTTCTCGGAGGTATGAGTGCCATCGATCCTTTTTGCTTATTTATATTCCGAATGCATACTTTGATGTCAGAATAAATTCTTATATGTATACGTATCTCGTTCCGAATATATAAAAAAGGCTGATGGGTGAAAATTCTCGCCAATTTTTAGGGTGTGATAACTTACTCTTGAGATCAACCGGTTAGTAAGCGTTCAGAAAAGGAAAAGTGGCTAGACCAACCGAAGCAATGGAAAATTGTGACCGGTAAAAAGTAAATTATGGGCAAAGGTCGCATTCAATCTAGAATCATGGTAGGAAGGAATGCAGGACGGGTGTCACAACCGGCAGTTTATAGAACTCTCCAAGATTGACAGAACTTACGAAGGAAGATTTTTTAAATGTTATCGTGAACGCAAAGTTACCAAAATCATTGGGCCCGGACAGAATTTGTATGCTAATGCCTAAACATCTTCAATTTGTCGTTAACCAGCCAAATAGTTCTTGAAGTCTGAAAAGTAGGCAGGGTGGTCCAGCTACTACAGTCCGGCAAGGATGCCAGCAAAGGTGAATCATACCGGTCGATTTCACTTCTGTCCTCAGTAGCAAAAAAACACTACTACTTCTCCTATCGATGAAAAGCAGTTTTTCAGTAGCCTAACATTGTTCTTGAAGTCTGAAAAGTAGGCAGGGTGATCCAGCTACTACAGTCCGGCAAGGATGCCAGCAAATGTGAATCATACCGGTCGATTTCACTTCTGTCTTCAGTAGCTAAAACACTACTACTCATCCTTTCGATGAGAAGCAATTTTCCAATAGCCCAACACAAACATGGATTCCTAGTTCGATAGATGAATCGGAGCTCCCGCCGAACATAATGGAGATAATAATTCGTTCACCAACTCCCCCAAGGTATTGCGTTTATCCTTCGACAGACTTTTAAGTCGCTCAAGCCACTGCTCAAATCGCTGGTCGGCAGCGTAATGATACCTCTTATAAAGCCATAGGCCGGTCAGTGGTAAACTATGCGGAGCCAGTATGTTTTTGGAATGTAACTAATAAGCAGTGGAAGAATATTCAGACCTTCTAGAATGCTGCCCTGAGAACTGCAACAGGATGTTTCCGCATGACACCAGTGGACCATCTTTATGAGGAGACGAGGATCATACCCGTCCATCGGTACAATCAAATGTTGTAATCGGCGGACACATCCCGGCCATAGCGTTATGGACATGGGTGTTTCAAGACAAAGGAGACGCAAGCGTGAACTTACAGACCAATTGCCTTAGGCAGTAGAACAATCTTAATATATAAAAGAGCTTAGTGTTAAGTGAGTGAGTGAATGTCAGATCATCGCCCAGACGAAACGGCTAAAGCTAGAAGCTTGAAATTTTGATTGTGGGTTGTTGTTGGTGTGTAGGCGTGAGATAAGCCTGGGTTTTTGGAAATTCGAACTAGAAGGTTACGAAAAGTACAAAAATGTACCAAATATGGTACCCTTTGTATTATGCGAACGGGAAGAGCTAGAATTCTGAAATTTGGAATGTGGGTCGCTGATGGAAATTTAGAAAGCTGTACAAAGGGAAATTCGAACTATAAGTGTCCTAAACTTTACTAAATTTAGTTCTAATTGTATATGTATTGAAAATATATACCTAGAATCTTGAAATTTTATATGGAATAAAGGTTGGGAAGTGTTATTGATGTATGGAAATGATTTATGAAATTAGTACATATTTATATAAAATGTACAAAATGGTACTAAATTCAGTACTATTTGCGTTTAAATGAGTGTATAGAGATGAAAGACTGAAAATCAGAAAGAGGGAATACTATTGTAGTACAGGATTGAGGCAGCTTTAAAAAATCGTACTTATGTGTACGAGAATTACTAAATGGTACAAAATTTGGTGCTAGTTGGATTTAGGTGAACGGATAGAGCTGGAGTCTTCAAATTGAGAATTAAAATGACTGTTGGAGTGTATGCTTCAGGTAGTTTAGAGGATAGAGATGGAAACTTAGGATAGAGATGGAAAACTTATATTTAAAAATAATATTACTGTTATACGGCATTTACATTAGAACTTTTTACCGGGTTAACCTACTTTATGAGGTTTTATTTGGCATATATTCAAAGCAATTGAAAACTTAAACCCACTGGGTTAACCAAATCCGGTTTAATGTAAACGACCTTTTAGAGTACAGGATTGAGACAGGGTTGGAAATTCGAACTCATTCAATATGTGGAATGAAGGAAGTTTTAGAAACTCGTACTTACGTCTACGAAAGGTAATAAACTGTTCTAAATTCGGTACGATTTGGATGTTGGTGAACAGATAGAATTTATGTGTACGAATAGTAAATAGAATAGCAAATGCACAAAATTTGGATTTGGGTAACGGAGAGATCTGGAAACCTAACATTTGAAATGTGGGTCATTGACGGAGAGTTAGAAAGAAGTACCAAAGGGTTTTTTTGTACTAAATTTAGAAGGACCAAAGGGCTTTAGGTACTAAGTGGTACTAAATTTAGTGGTGGTGATGGTTTGGAGGTAGTCTTGAAAATGTGTACTTATGTGTTCGAAAAGTGCTAAATGGAACTAAATGTGGAACCTGTATGTAAATATATAATTGGAATTCTGATTTATTTTTAATCAGTGTAATGGAAATAGGAACGATTTTTCGCAAAATAGTGTTTATGTGTATAAAGAGTACTAAATGATAATAAACATGATATTAGATGTATGAATAGAGTTGAAATTCAAAACTATAGTACAACAAATTATAAAGTATTCAGGACTTTAATATGAAATATTATTTTTTTATTCACTTTCCGCATACAAAGTAGCGGGCATTTTGCTAGTAGTATATAAAAGCGAGCCAACTGGTTCACGTAGAAGGGGAAGGTCACGAATTCGATGGAAATATCAAGTGGATGACGATGACAAGATCGACGCGCCTAAAAAATATTTTTTAAGTTCGGCTTATGGAACAAATGTTCTGCCACAAGCTACCTAAGTAAGTAAGTAAGTGCGTCAACAACAACGGGACTTTGGAACAGTTTCTACGCCACTGCCCGGCTTTAGCAAACCTTCGAACCCAATTTGAAGGAAATGACATGAGATGGTGTGAATGGGAAAAACTGCACTAAGAACACATAATTTCTAGAAGTATACGAGAGCCAATTTCAAGATATATCTTCTAACATTTTCCTTTGTAGGGCACACAACAAAACCTTGAAAATATGTTGGAGTAAACCACCCTTCTTTTCAACATAAGCTAGCCATAGGAAATTGTTTGCGTCAAAACTTCGCTATATTTGTTGTTATTTAATTAACATATTTCTTTTTATTGAACTTTCATTATTGAAATAATTACATATGTTTTATTTATAAATAATGTTTTAAAATTAAATGATCTACAACAACATTTATTCCAAAGTCAATTACATTGACATGTACATATATATTTTTTGGACTATGGTGAGTGGTGACAACATTACACAAAATCACTAAAAATTAAAATTTTGTCTACGAAAAAAGAAATATCGACTAGCCATATAAACACTGTGGTATTATTTGCATAAAATTTGAATAAATAAATTGCTTTGCAATTTTGTTTCAATTTTTTTTCCTATTAGATTCCAATATGCAAGCAATGTTAAACTCGAGCGGGAAGGGAGGGTTGTGAGTAGAGAACTACTTGTGTAATGGGTGTGTGTGGAATATTCTACACATCGATTTTTGACGTATGCAGATAGTTTGTCATACAGTTCCGTTCAAACTATGCCGCCTAACATTCAAATACATTGGAACTGTTCGCCTATGCCGAAGAAAAATTGAAAAAAATTGTTATGTAAAAATAATCGATTAAAATGTTAATTAATTGTTTATTTGATTGCTTCGTCGTCGTCGTTACTGTTACTTTCTACTTATAGAATACATATTTAGTTTAAGAATGAATGACACAATGTGTAAATTTGTCCCTGTATGAAATTTTCACTATTTTTTATTTACCGCCGCCACCACTGGGCAGGGCGTATTCATGGCATAACCCAAACATTGCAGAGCCCGTCGTATGTCAATGAAAACACTGGGATCTTCAATTGTTGCCGGCAACACGACCAGCTCATTTTTCGCAAAATCTGCCATAGCTTTACGCATTGTCTTGCCCGATCGGGTGCGTGGCAATGCCTTAACGGGGGCGACCAAACGAAACGATGCTATGGGTCCAACAATTTCACGTATTTTTTGTATAATTTCTGCCGACAGCTTAGCCGGTGTTTTTGAGCAATTTTCTCGCGGTACATAGAGGCACATTGGCACCTGGCCCTTTGTCGGTTCGGGTACACCAAAAACGGCAACATCCACCACATCGTTATGTCGCAGAACAGCATCTTCTAGGGCCAGTGTCGATATGCGATGTCCGGCAACATTGATGATATCATCGGCCCGGGCTGTGACAAAGATATAACCATTTTCATCTTTATAGCCGGCATCCATGGTGTCATAGTAACCCTTGAAAATAAAAAAAGAGAAGTCCGAATTTTGGGAACTCAAATAAAATATGAATCAAATATCAATTACTTACCGGATATTTAGTGAAATAAAGTTTTTTGAAAAGTTCATCATTCTCGTAGAGTGTGGACATATTACCCGGAGGCAGGGGTAATTTAATTACAATTCTTCCTAATTCCATGGGTTCACATTCCGAGCCATCGGTATGCACCACTTTAACTGAAAATAAAAGAAATTTATTAATCAGAGAAATACTAATATTTACGTTGGGCGCCACTATATGAAATCATGGTTGCCTAGGAATGTTAATAATAGGGGAACCATGATGCGTTTAGTACGATCGGGCGGAACTTTATATAATCTCAATACTTTAAATTATTAGGGATTTTGATATTTTGGGCCAGAAATAGTGAAAAAACGTGAGCTGAGATAATATGTGCCAACTATAGAGGAATTGGTTTCCTTCCCATCGCATATAAAGTGCCATCCAGCAGGCTATGTGAACTACTGAAGCCAATGGTCAATGAAATTATTGGACCATACCAATGCGGCTTCGGGCCTGGTAAATACACCATTGACCAGATTTTCACCTAGCGCCAGATCCTGAAAAAGACCCACGAAAAACACATCGACACATTACACCTATTCGTCGATTATCAAAACCATTCGACAGCCCTAACCGTTCAGAGGTTTTTAAAGCCTACATGTCTGCGTTCGGCATTCCTGGAAAATTAATGCGTTGTCAGGCCTATCAAATCCACAATCGACCAGATTTTCACTCTGCGCCAGATCCTTTACAAGACCCACGAAAAACACATCGAAACATTTCACCTATTCGGCATTCCTGCAAAATTAATACGTCTATACAGCATAACTTTAATTGGCACCAGGTCAGCAGTTAAAATCGGAAAGGACCTCTCGGAGCCTTTCAATACCGAACGATGATTCAGACAAGGAGACATTTTGTCGTGTGACCTGTTTAACATCCTGCTGGTCATACGAAATGCAAATGATAATAGAAATGACACTCTGTACGCCAAACCACAAATGTTACTCGCCTACGCCGACGACATCGACATAATGGGTCGAACATTGCGATCAGTAACAGCCACCTTTGAACGAATTTAGAAGGAGTCTGCTAAAGTGGGTCTGGCAATAAATGACGTCCAGTAGACTCAGACCAACTGTGGAACTTGAAAACTACAGCTTCGATGTAGTGAACGATTCTATATACCACGATACCGCCATAAACAAAACTAATCAGCTTTGAAATCTGAAGGAGAATAGCATTGGCCAACAGATGCTACTATGGTCTCAGTAAGCAACTCAAAAGCAAGGCCACCTCTAGCCAGACCAAACATACAACCTACAAGATGCTGATATTACCCGTGCTTTTATATGGATCTTGGAGTGTGTGAGAAAAAAATTCTCCAGAAGACCTATCCCCAAACCTGCGTTGACGGTGAATATCGTCGTCGAATGAACCATGAGTTGTACCATCTATTCTCGGACATCTACATAGTCAGTCATATCGAGCTGCAGCGACCACGGGGGCTAGACCATGTTGTGCGAATGGATGAGGATACCCCTGCTCAAAAGGCATATAAAAGCGAACCATCTGATAGTTCACACAGAAGGGGAAGATCACGAATTCGATGGAAAGATCAAGTGGAAGACAAAATCTCGGAAACGGACTTTTAGATTGGAAGAGCTTCGTACAAGACCGACGCGCATAGGAATCTTTTTTAAGAATTTTCCACAAAAAATTATGGCGCCCAACGTTATGTATGTTTTTTTTCTTACAAATATTCCACTTACTATTATAGCCAATAAATGGCAAACCGGTTGTAAATGCTGGTGTATCAAGACGTTGATTGAAACCCAAACATGTAGCCGTTATCGCCGATCCGGTTTCTGTTTGCCACCAATTATTCAAAACCGGTACCTTAAAGGTTGTCTCAATCCACGACTTCGTTTCCAAATCACAATGTTCACCGGCAACAAAAATGGAACGTAACGATTCCAGTGAATATTTACGACCATATACACAATCGGGATCGACACGTCGCAGGACACGAAATGAAGTGGGTACCGAAAATAGGGAGGTGACTTTATGTTGATCAATGATGCTGGAATAAAAAGAAAAAAAAAACATTTTTTATTAATTGTGTAAAGGTTCAACAAGTTAGGAGTGGTTTCTAATATGGCGCCCAATTAAAGGAAGATTTGACATCCAAAATGAAGTATTGATTAAAAATCTTGTATCCTTATATCAATTGTTGCATCATTATTCTAAAATATTTAAGCAACAAATATGGCGCCCAACGTGTCC